GATAATAAAGTAAAAAGTAATTATTATTTTTAATGCTATTTTTGGTTATAAATATTAATTTTATAAAATTAGCAGTAAATAATTAAATGGTTATGAATATCGCAAAATAAAATGTGGAGTTATGACAAATTCAGCAAAATATAATTAGAAATACATCATGAATACTTTTAGAATTATAACTGATCTGCTTCATTCAAAGTAATTTTAAAACTACTGGAGTTAATATTATTTAGAAATAAATAGTTTTTCAATATGACTTCTGTTTAGCATCATATTTTTCATTTTTAATTCTGCTAAGATAAAAGTTTTGCCATCTGACTTCAAACTTCTTTGTATTTGAATTCTAATAATTTAAATTATTGGCATTTCTGACATATGCAACCTGTGCAACCTGCTTTATGTTGTTTATCATAGCATTTATCAACATTAATTAATATTAATAAATCTTCAATAATTTTAAAGAATTGTATCGCTTACATCATTTCTGCGGAATTTCAGCAATCAGACCAGCAATTATTGCCTTTAATTGCAATAAAATTTGCAAAAAATGCTCAAAAAAATTGTTATTCAGCTTCAAGCTTAATTCTTTACACGTATTTCGATCACGTAGGATATGTCATTTTAATTGAATTTAGAAATATTTTGTGCCACCGAACGTCTTTCTTCATTGCTACGATTTAATAAACAATTTTTAACCAAATATTTTTAACACTAAATAATACTTTTGGAAATGGCAAAAGTGAAGGATATAGCATGAAATTGTTTGCAAATAAATATGAACTATGCATCACAATATCAGCAAACATTTTACATAGAAATTTATTTTAGAGAAGTGTGATCAGCTGTAGGAATCAAATTTCATTGCCTTTCTTTGTGGAAATTATTACAAAAAATCAGCTCAACTTGTTTATTAATAGTCAGTGAAAATATAACTGATTATAATTACATCCATATCATGAATATAAAATACAGATATAAATATTATTATTATTATTATTGTTATTATTATTATCATTAATATTAATAACAGTTATATCTATACATTAAAACTCTGTAAGATGCTATAGCTAAGGAACCTAGTGTAATTCTATGATTCATCACAATAAAAGCAAGGTGATGTTCAATATTAATATCTATATTTTTATTTGCTTATTCGTTTTTTTTATTTATGAGCATAAAAATTATTATCATCATTATTATTATCATAATAATAATAATAATAATAATAATAGTAAATAAAGATAATGTGGAATAAGAACAATGCCAAGAAGTAATGATATAATATGCGAGCAAATAAGATTTCTTATGATAAAATTGTCAACGAATGAAAGGGTGCGCTGAATGGAAGTGACAAGCAACGAATGCTTGCATGCGTGCATGCTTGCTACTCACAACAACGCAGCACAATTTTACTTAAAAAACGTCATTTTCATAATTACTGTGAGTATTAATGATAAGTTGAAGAAAGTACCAGAAAAGTGTTTTGAATGAGAGACGTAAAAAGAGTTGAACGATCTCTCAGAATGCAATACTCATCTCTAGTCAATGCTGCAAAGTAAGCGAGCACGAGATACTTGCATTAATAACAGCAGTAGATAGTTAGTTGTACTAGCGGATATGTAACTTGCTGATATGCAAAGTGAGGCAGCAAAAAACATTTAGAACATATTTTTATTATTTAGAATTTTGTTAGCAACTATTATTATTGCTAATATTATTTTTATAATTAATCGTATATATAAAACATATATATCGGAAAAAAATTGTGGAGGTTAACAACACAGGCAATTATCGGATTATTATGTGACCAGATTGATGGGTGGTCAGTGGCATGCTGTGGGCACACGTGGTCAGTTAGTCAGTTCAATCTCTTCTTTTTTAGTCCAAAAAACAGCATTACTCATTTTACCAACATTTCCACTCAGTTACTTACTTCCGCTTTTATAATTCAAACATTAGATTTTGTGCTTCAGCTTATTACACTGATTTAAATAAAAAATTTTATCTACATTTTATGCATTGAATTAGCTAGCATTTTAAGTAAATGAAGAATCCTTTTTAAATCATTTCAATATACATATTAAATACAAGTACTAATTTATAATTACTGAGTGACAATTTCAATTATAAATGTGATATTTACTTATAATTATCTTTCAAATTCAGCACAGTTCACTTAACACTAATCCATTCTTTGCTACAAAAACAAACGGAAAGAAAATTTGCGCTGAATTCCCACTTAATTTCTTTGCATTCAATAAAAAGTAATTCAAATTTGTAAGTAATGTATTCAAATAATTCAAACTACAATAAAATAATGTCTGAAAATGTAAAATTTGTTTGAAACACTTTCTATGAATTTGCTGGCGTTATCAATCGCTGCCTTTTGCAAGTATTCGTAAACGTTTGCAGTACTTTTTTGATTTATCTGAGTATTACTTTCAAAATTTTTACACGCTTACATTGCATAATTATTCTTAAAAACGTGAATTGCGCGTACAAATTTAATTTTGTTTGCTGCAAAATTTTAATAAAAATTATAAAATATTCATTTTAAAAAAGCATTTGGTTCACTTTGCATGTTTTGAATATCACACTGTTACTCAACAATTTCTTTTTCTCGCCTTCTCCTCGGCTTTTCACATGTATTTATATATTTCTGTCTGTATAGTATAGTATGTCTATATGTGTTGCAAATGTAAGTTTAAATGTCTGTATGTATGTGTGCGTGTGTGTGCGTGTGTGTGTATGCGTGTGTGTGTGTATGCGTGTGTGTGTGTATGCGTGTGTGTGTATGCGTGTGTGTGTGTATGCGTGTGTGTGTGTATGCGTGTGTGTGTGTATGCATGTGTGTGTGTATGCGTGTGTTTGTATGCGTGTATGTACCCAAAAACATTTGATTGCTGGTTGTTTCACATTACATACAATTGCGTGCGTTTGCATTCACTTCTACTTCTCCTCCTTTTATCCCATTTTTCTTACTCAGAAAACACTGCGAATTGTGGAATGGTTATTCATCATTGATTTGTGTCATTTTCCCCTCAACATCATTATTATTACCATAATCATTACCATTACTGTCACCATTACTATTGTCACTACATTACCATTACCATTACCATTACCATTATTATTATTATTATTATCATTATCATATCATTATCAGCATTACTCTCTGTCGTTATATTTACTACCATTTCCTATCATTACTGTCTTCATTATCGTTTAAAATCCTTCCCTGTACAATCACTGAAATAAATATGAAATAAAAGAATAATTTTTCATAACCATTTATCATAGTCATTTTCATCTCATCATCACTTTCCTTTTACTTTATTCTTAAATATTTTCCTTTGCTCTTTTTTCTTCTTTACTTATTACAATCAGTTTTTTTCAAGTTTTTTACATTATTATCATTATCATTATCACTATTATTATCACTATTATTATTATTATTATTATTATTATTATTATTATCATTATCATTGTTATCATTTGTTTTTGAAATTTCCTGGTTTTGTTACATTATTTATGTATTAATTTAATATTATTATTTCTTGTTCTATTATATTACTTTATTATGATGTCTATCAATTGCAGTGTTTATGACAAGTAGTGATGAAATTCATTAATACTATTAAAGTTTCATTACAGTATTGTTGCTACTTTTATGCTTTGCACTTAGCATTTAATTTAGTGCAGATGGAAAATCTGAAGTTTCTTTAGCAAAATTAACACGCCAGTAATGTTGTAGTAGAATGAGTGATAGCGGTGACAGTTGTCAGCTAATGATTCTGGCCATAGTAGTGAATGAATTGGTATGATGGCAACATACTGGGAGTGATGCAGCAGTGATAATGATGGTATTACTCAGACAGTGCTTAATGTGTGATTGAAATAAGAGCTGTAGTTAATAATTAATAGTAATAATAAAATGAATCTATGAAGAAGAACAGTGGTTGAATCTTTTTTAGCATTTGTGTAACTCACGTTGTGTAAAGTATTGACGCAACATTTGTTGCATAACTTGTGCTCTTCTGTTTGTGATTAAAAATTGTCAGCTCTTTTTAGCACAGTCATTCATTCTCATTTATTAATTATTAGTAAATAATAGTCAGTGAGTAGTGTAGTGTGTGTCTTATTGCTACTAAATGCTTGCAAGCATCAAAGCATTAATTAGTTAATTGCAATATTCATTCACTGTGATTAATTAATGAAGTGAGAATTAGTGGGAATGCAATAATACAACAATTCTATCTCTCTTGCCTGTAATGTAACAATTTTTGCTTTACTTTTACTGTTTAGCAAATTCATTTTCTTATTTTTCGCATATTTATACAATTCAACTTAATATTATTTATGCAAATTTTAATAAAAATGAATTTTAATCTGACTTTCTGAACCGAAAACTTTTTATCAAATAATCTCACGAATGATAGATCCTTTCAAATTTTATTATTACATTTATTTTAGTGCTATTGCTTACACTTTTTACATTGGGAAAGGGTAGTTTTCAGTGACGAGAAATAACACTGTTTTTTTTTTCATATAATGAAGTTCAAATACCACTGATAAGGTATGTTAATAAGAATTATGAGAAGAGATAATATTGTGAATGATAGAGCTCATTTATGCTGTTAAATAATCTTTACATGTGAATCAGATGACCTGTTTTGAAAAGGTCAAGTATTTCATACTTTTTTAATAATGCTATTACTTCAAAATATTGATGCAATGCTTATTTCTACTCTAATATATATTATCATAAATGCACATTTCCCCAATAAACTATACATCACTATAAAAAGCATAACTTCGAAATTGAATGATATTTTTTCTATATAGTTCATTCATACACAGTGTTGCTTACACCTGCGGGATATCAGTTAGCTATTATTATTTATGCCAGTTTATAATACAATATTATTTATGGATCAAAGTCGCTAGATTAATTTGTTGTTTATATATATGTGTATATTTTTTAGTAAAACTTGGAAAATATGATGAATACGGGTAGTTTGTTGCACCAGCAGCCAAGCGGGATATCAATAGTAGGAATAACAGCTACGGTCAATAATGCGGGTTGTATACCAGTGCCATTTTTTAATGGTTTTTCGGTTGCTACCCAGAATCAATTACATAATAATCAACCACAGCCGGAGCTATTACCTGAAATTATGCGCACACAAATATCAGGTTTCTTATTTTCACTTAGTATTTTCAATGCATAATGTAGTGAGGGCTTTTAAATTTAAAAACCTCATATATCTTAACTAGTATTTTCTATATTAACAACACAATCAAAAAACCGAATTTAATTTTGTTTTTATTATGTAAGTAATGGAAATTCTCTAATAAAATTTCTCTAATAAAAAATTCTCTATTAAAATTTTTTAAAATGTTAATAGACTGTTTTATTAGAAAATGAAATCAGGCATAGCATTTTTTTTTTGAATATCAGGAGCAAGACTTATTTCCTAGCAAAGTAATTTAGAAAACTCTGTAAATATTCAACTTAATATGCCTCCTGATCAACGGGAGCAACATCATTTACAACAGCAACATCACTTGTTTATCGATCAACATCAGATTTCTCAAGTTAGTTCTTGAAATGTAATGGTTACATTCTTTCAACAACGTGATATTACATTCTGTTAGGAACAGTGATGCAGTGGTAACACATATGGGATTAAATTTCATTTCCTGCAAGTGAGCTATAATTAAACCGAATCCTCTTCTTAAGCTGAGAACTGCAACTTAGCAAATGATATTGTCGACAAAAATTATACTGATTATATCTTATCTATTTGAATTTTAAGCACAGTGGCTTTCCAACGATGCAACATTATCACGAAAATATATTAGATACTCCTAGAATGACGCAGATGTTACCTACTGATGTACCGTTTTCACCTAATTTTTATGAGTATCAACCTGTTCCGAATATGCAAAACATACATGCACCGGTAAACAAAAATTCTGCATTATAATAATACATATACACATATTGAATTTTAGGTAATTAACAGTTTCTAAAACTTGCATTGTACGAAATATTTTTAATCAGCGTTAAAATATCATTTTAAATATTGTTTTGTTTGCATTTTCCCTCAAAAAAGTTGCTACAGCGATAGCTTTTCAATTTGTCGAGCATTCGAGTTAAATTCGGAAAAAGAAAATCTATGTGTTAAAACCTGAATTTACAAATTTTATTGTTATCATAAACTCTATTTTCTTATGACGAAAATTTTGATGGTGCGCTTGCAGGCATTAGGCAAGTCGTTGATTCGAGAAGTATCGCAGCAACCTTGTGATTTTGGAGGAAACACGATGCCATCTTCATCAAATCATGACAGCACTTCTGCAGCAGATCCATGCACTCAAATTGCGCACGTTCTACAATGCTATCAACAAGTTTGTTGCTTATTTATTAACGATAAATCTTCACTAAAAATGTTTTTGAAAACACGTTATGATTTTGGAGTTTTGTATTTCAGTCTGTTTTTAATTTCACTTTCCTGAGGTCATGTAAAAAGCTCTCAGAAATTTCTTTTCAGTTATTCAAAAAAAATTGAAGAGGTCAAGAAATAAGTAAGTATGGTTTGACCATATTTATTACTTGGTCAATTTTTTTTTGAATAACTGAAAAGAAATAGCCCTTATGAAATTTTATACTATATTGTTACCAAAATTTTCCAAGTTATCACTGTTTTCGAAAAAAAATAAATCTATTCTTAGCTATTTTTAGGGTGGTGAAGATGCGGAATTTGTTCGGAAAGCAATCGAAAGTTTAGTGAAAAAACTGAAAGATAAGCGGAACGAATTAGAGAATTTAATTACGGCTATAACATCAGCAGGAAAGCAGCCAACAAGTTGCGTGACTATTCAGGTTTATTATTTGTCTTACCTTTCTCATGTTCTAGTGTATCTTGAGAATAACTCATATGTGTATCTTATTATTGAATTTGTGTTATTGAAATTTCGGAGCACAGATAAAAGTAACTAGTAAGTTATATATATTCTTGATAAAGCAGAGGTATTTTTTTGTCAATGCAAAATATATGTGCTTTATAGTTCACACTCGCATACTTTCTAGATCAAGAAATCTGTGCGTCAGATTGTAAGAAAATCAAGATTAAATTGGTTTTCGACTTTTTTCTTAATCATATTGTTGTAGCGATCACTGGATGGACGTCTTCAAGTTGCCGGTCGAAAAGGTGTTCCTCACGTTGTTTATGCTCGTATTTGGCGTTGGCCAAATGTTCACAAAAATGAGTTGCAGAAATTACCGATTTGTGCAATAGCACCAGACAACCAGGTATTTATTGATCTTCTACACATTATTTTTCAAATGCTTAATATTACTCAGTTTGTATGTACAGAACTAATAGTTAAATGATACCAAATACTATCAGTTAATTTTTATATGTAACGTACAATTCAATATGTCGAAAGTTCTTGTAATCTCATGCAAAGCCTAAATTCGATATCAATTTCTTCTTGTTCTGTTTCTGTAAAGTTTTGATGCTGTTCCATCTTAATTAAACCTTTATTAAGAAACCAAAATGGCATCAAAAAACATCCGAATAATATTCGCAACATAATGATTCTTATATAGATCCAAAACTATTGTTATTTTGTTTTCAGGATGTGATTTGCATCAACCCTTACCATTATGAACGAATAGTGTCTTCGCCTATAGGGAATATCGGTATTGTGTGTGTCAATACATCCAGTTTTTATTTTCTTCTATCATATAAAGCTATTATATTGCATTTGTAGACATGTCCACGTTGCGCTTAGATGTATTAACTTCACCTGCATCATCATCACAAAATACGTTATCGAATAACCTAGCGAACACTATTGCTACAGGACAAATTGGAGCTCAAACATTGCCTATTGAAGTATGCATTGAAAATGGAAATTACAATACTTTGTTTCGTTTTTGAATTAATTTTGATTACAATTTATGCTTTAAAAATCTGAAACAACTGAATTTATTTTTATTCTTTTTATAAATTTTCAAGTTCGGAGAGATATCTGATTTTTAAAGTGTAAGCTAGCATTTTAAAAAATAATATTTTCTTTACTGTAGCCAACATTGTACCATTGAACTGTTGTGCTTACTTACAATAATCGGTCTATTAATATAAAGAATAAAATTTATCGATTCTTAGGAGTAGCAAAGGAATTTTGATTGTTTTTTTTTCTAAAATTTCGAATTTTATTAAACTTTATGTAACATTGCAGAATTCATTTTGCGATGTGACATCACCAGAGGCATTGAATATGCTACCAAATGGCACAACGGATGGCGCCAATATTAGCGAGCAAAATGCTTGGCTGAATCAGAATTGTGTGTTGTCAGCAGCAAATTCATCAGTTTCACATTTATATCAACAACAACCTGAAGGTGTTGGCATTTTCAAATATGTGTTTTAAAATATAAAGCTTATACAAATATATTGCTTCTCTCGTTTTAGCTTTAAAAGCTTAAATGAGCATAGAGATCTTTCCAACTCTGAAGAAATAGAAACTGACAGATGAAAATGAATAATAGAATAACATCAGTTGTATTGACAGCACGATCATCATGTATTAGTGATTCATCAGTTTTTATTATTCATGTCTCATTTACAGGGATTGTTTCAAAAACGCAAGCTAAAATTTTCAAATCGATCTGCTTACAAATGTTTTGTAAACTGATAGTTTTCTAAAGCGTAAAATTCACTTTTCAAGGCACTCGTCGGAATATTGATGAATGACAGTATTAAGAAACTAAGAAATATTTTTCTTACAGTAGATTTGTTATTCTAATTCAAATTACAACTGAGTGCTTACATTTGAATTCAGATTTGTTTTGAATATTGTATGTAAAAAAAATATTTCTTAGTTTCTTAATACTGTCATTCAATACAACTGATGTTATATATATCGGTGATCTCAGTTCATTATTTTTAATATCGTATCCAATGTACAAATATTTTCAGTTAATTACCAACAAATGAATGGTTCTATTTATCCAGCTATCAACCGTTTTCGATGTATTATTTCCAAGTTCATTTTTCTTTGACTGCATCTAGCAAATATTTGCTTACTTAAATTCCTTTTATTTTTCTTAAAGTTTTACTTTTCTTTTTGTGATTTATGATAAATAGGTTGCTTATTTTTTTCAGACAATTTGGATGCAGTACGCTTACCAAATACACCAAGTATGTTTTAATTCGTGTTCAATTCAGTCATCTATAATTTTTTTGTGAAAGCATTTTAGTCTTGCAGTTGGTTAAGAAATAAAAACTTTGATTATTAAATAAATCAAGATATTAAAATTGCATTGAGTTCAGTCTGCTTTGTAGTTCCTGATCACTGGTGTTCTATATCATACTATGAGTTAGATACCCAAATTGGAGAAACATTTCGTGTACGAAAAGATCGGTCAGAGGTATTAATTACAAAAAATATACGTTGTTTTATTGAAATTTTAAAAGACTAAAGTTAAATTATAATATTTTTACATTCGTGCTGCATATTATCCTTCAGTTACAACAAAGGCCACATTTGTTATTACTGAGTTGTTCCTACCGTATTTTGGTCATAAGACTACATTACTGATTATTGTGTCTTGAGTTTATGAATTTATGATATTGTTTTTATAGGTAATAATTGATGGCGGTGTGAATCCAGCAGGAGCGAAACTTGGCCGGTTTTGTCTTGGAGCCTTATCAAATGTTCATAGGAGTGAGGCTTCCGAAAAAGCAAGGTAAAAGTTTTCTATCCGAAAAATCAGCTTTCACGTCCCTATGAAAATATTTAAGAATTATGATTGAAAATATCGGTTTTCTTTGCACTTCGTGAATTTTTGACCATGATTAAAGTTGTTTTCTTATTGAGATTGCACATTGGTAAAGGTGTACGTATATCAACTCAGCGTGATGGTAGTGTATATCTGGAATGTTTGTCGCATAAATCAGTTTTCGTACGAAGTTATTATTTAGATTTTGAGAACAATATTGCATACGGTAGCACTGTACATAAATTTTGTTCAGGATCACCGAACAAAAAGGTAAGTTGCCATTGAGTGGGGTAATAAAAATGATTTATTTGGTCCAGCTAGATGTATCAGATTTCTTTCGGAATCATAAATTTTATTCAGTCATCGAATTGAAATTATTCTTCACTGAAGTGCCAGTAATTTTATAAATCAGTTACTGGCATAAAAAGTTGCACCATAAAATTATATGTGATATGATTAAGATATAGGATTTGCCATCTTTGACTTTACATTTTAAACATATCCAGATATTTGATCTACGTTGGGCTTTTGCGGAAATGGAACATCAAAGCAAATCTGCTCATTTAGCTATGGTTGCACAAGCAGCTGCAGTTGCAGGATATGCCCCTCCGTCAAATCTTACATCGTTTAATGACCATTTGGGGACTGGTGTTGACGAATTGAGACATGTAAGATTTACCGTCCTTCGTGCATCATTTTTTGATCGTCGTCACACAAATGTAATATTATCATACAAACTGTAGCTTTGGTTTAATGTTTTTCTCATTAACTGAAGCAATAAAGTTCAAATTTCAAAGAAAATTACTTTCATACAGAAGAAAAAAACAAAAAAACAGTTACATTCTAAAAGACAAGACTTCTATCGTTCAGTTTAAAATGTTATTCATTTTTGTCTGCTTACGGTGTTGTTTAGGTATGCTGTATAATAGCGATATCGTTTGTAAAAGGTTGGGGTGTTGGTTATAATCGCGCATTAATTAAGGAAACACCGTGCTGGGTAGAACTACAACTTCATCGACCGCTACAACTTTTGGATCAGTTGCTGAAGAATGAATATTAAGTGGTTAACCAGGTACTTTTACCGTTCAGAATCAAAATATCCGTTCCTGAGCATTTAACCGTAATGTTAGTGACGTCACTTTTCATGTGAATTTAGGTGCCAGGACACTCGTGCCTTCGGTTTCTCTGCTTTATATATACATCAATGTAAGTTAATTATCCCTCTGATTAGTCGCTGTTTAGTTTATACGTAGTCATTCTATGAATTTATGTTATTCTAGTTTGTGCAAAAAATCACTCATTCCAGCAGTTCAATCTTTATCTCTCGTGAGGGCTCATGTAAGTCATTCCTTACAGAAAATATCATATGAAATCATGAGGAACTTCCCTAACTAAAACTAATCATGAAAATATTATGAAATAAATTTTAAATTAGATCCCTTTCTATGCTAGGACTTATGTATGAGTATTTTAATAATGCATCACAATGTTTGCTTTGTATCATGAAAAACTTTCATTTTTTTTGTTGTAGTTTTTGTGTAAGCAATTACTGATTCGACAGCACAGCAATAAAGCTACAAAAGATTGTTGTTTTAACATGGAGAATATTTAACAACTCTGACGTGAGAAGATTACTTCACTTGCAGCTATAAAGAATGCAAGCATTGCGAATTTCTAGTCTAACTAAAAAAGAACAGACTACATCATCCTAAAGTGTTTTACTAACTAGCGGTGTGAATAATGAAGATGGAGCGCATCAATGCACCCACAATTATGAAGAATTAACATAATGTGAAATGCAAAGATTGACGTAATTATATAATATAGAAATGTAAATGCGGAGAAATGAGTTAAAAAATTTATTCAAACCATATCAGTGCACAGTAAACAAGCAAGTTACAAAAAAACCAAAATATTTCCTCATAACTTTTGTCTTCCTCTCGATGGCCCTTCAATCTCATATTCAATTTGAAGCACTTGTCGTCGTGGCCTCTTCACCGGTTCTCTTTTCTCTTCTTCTTTCAAGTCTCTCCATTGTACTCGTTTCTTCTTATGCTACAAGTTCTCGAAGTCTTTCAGAAGAAATATGATGTTCCAAATGAAATAGAAATCTCGAAAATTTACACAAAGTAAATAAGCTTTACATTTAGTCTATTGAACGAAAACAGATATCACAATTATTTTAAGTAAATAAAACTGTTATCTCAAATAAACATACTGCATTCGATGGGTGTTTTTCCTTCTTATTTAATTTCTTTCTCTCATATTGTTCTTGCATACTTTCTTTGTCCTCTTCGTAATCTACGTCATCCTCTTTCCCGTAACTTTCTTCATTTTCTGTTATTTCATCATCACTACTATTTTCATCCAAGTTACTTAGATTCATCGCTCCTGCAGAATCCTCTATATCTTCATAATCATCTTCAGATGACTCTTCGAAATCAGCGATATACTGTCGAACTTTAGTACCCTGAATTTATTTAGGTAACAAAAATAGGAAATATTAGGAAAGAATGTATTATGAACAACAAATTCCGACCTGGTCTAGCTCCTCTGTTTCAACTTCATATTCTGATTCTCTTTCTATTTCATTTTGTTCATCAAGTACTTTATTGAAGATATCGTGTCTACAAAACTTTGTTAAGTAATTTAGAATGTTGGAAATATATTACTTCAAACTTTCATCATTTAAGCAAAATAAATGGGAGTGAATGCAATCTGTTTGAAACTGCCAAGCAATGAACCTGAAATTATAAATTTCTCCGTATGTTCCTTCACGCAAGCGATTCAATAACTCTTTCTCTATAGCATTATCCAGTTTAGCAGCAATTAGTGCCTTCTCTTCTCTCCTTACTTCTCTTCTTTCAATCTTCCGTTGTATTGGAATAATTTTCTGCTGCCTGAAAATCACCAAAAAAAATGATAATTTGTAACTGCTGACTGAATTTGATAACATAATTTTGTTTTGAAATTTAAATTTGATGGAAAGAGGAGAAAAATTTATAACCAAACTTTGCTTTTATAAAACTGAATATTTACAATAAACAAAAATATTCTGTGAAAGGGTTTTCTAGCAGCGAAGACAATCACCTTGCTCGAAGTTTCATTTTTCTCATTCTTATCAAGTACTGATGAATGCGAATCAGACGAGCTTTACATTTGTGCCTAATATACTCAGACCAGTGGATTAATGCTTCATCAATTTGTCCGACAGCTTGCGTCATACTTCGTGATAATTTGATTCGTTCCCAAAGTCTTCGTGGATAATGACTTCTCTCAATTACTTTCAAATATAGATAGCAAATTCCTAAAGCAGTCAAGAACTATAAAAATTTCCATTACTTAAAATTGACATGAAATTTGTGTTATTAGTAAAGAACTTTTTACGCAGTAAATTTTTATCGAAATGATGAAGCAATTTATGCTTTCCTCACATTCAGCACACCAAATCATGCATACTGAGAGAGAAAAAGTCTTGGAATGCATTTATTTTTTTATATAAACAGTAATATTTGTGTATTAGAATGATCCTACGTATGTTTAACTGCACTGGAACTTATCTATCAAAATATAAATCTTCAAGTTTGTCTTCCAAACTAGCATACCTTTTTCTTCACGCACCGTAGCATATTGGCTGTTAGCCAATGGACAGGATGCACGATTGCACAACCCTGTCAGATTGTACTCATTTCGACAAAACTTCTGTGTCTTAATTCTAAAAAACGTGCATAAATTTTGTGAAATCTCTAGAATCGATATTTATATCAAAATAAAAAAATACTGCAGACGAAGAGTAATTTAAAGTTTTCAAATGAGAATGATAAAAGTAATAAATAAACTCTGATGTTGAGGGCTCTGAAGTATAAATATTTCAAAATAGCTTTTAAGAAGATTCAACTTTCAGCTGACAAAACTGGTACTAACCTTGTTTTGAAGGAGCACATGCCCTTGTTGAGAATATTCCATGTAACATCATCACACTGCATTCTTGTCAGCAATGCTTTCGTATCTAGAATAAGAATGATACAACACTAAAATTTTTATATCATACGAACATCATTACTTCATCACAGCATTTTTTATTTCAAATTTACATCAGGAATGTTTATGCTTCATTATTTTTTTATTTTCACTACAATCTGAATAAAGCATTTGGTTCATGCAAATAAAATCTTCTTTTAATGACTGTAGAATTCAAACACAAACTCTACAAAATATTAGAACGTTAATAATCGAATGTGGAATTAAATGGATACACAATACGAGCCAAAATGAAAACAAAATTGCTAACAGCAAAGCCTCAAGTGATACACGAGACTTAAGTCTATTTATGTCAATAAAAGAAAGGCTACAAATTATAAGATTCCATGTTACCAAAAAGGCTTAGCATTGAAAACATATGATTAATTAAGTTAGGTAAAACAATATATTACTTAAGCAATATATTACTTAAGAAATATATTACTTAATAAATTACTTTATTCCATCCTTGGCAGATAAAAATATGCTTATGTAAAAAAAATACTTCAATGGAAAAAATTTAAGAATATGCAAAACGAACTTGAACCTCATTGATGGCTTCAAAGTGCAACTTTAATTTTCACATGCTATAAGGGGTTGTGATTTTCAATTTGAATTTGTGAAATGGCGGCGTGAGACGTAAAGTGACTTCAAAAAGTTAATTAATTATGTATTGTTTTCATTAATGTGGTTAGTATACTAATTGCGTGAGACCCTATTTTTGATTGTTGTCTCGGTGTTCCGTTGAGTTGGGCAAACTATCTGTGTGAAGCAAAAGATTCCATTATTAAGCAATATGAAGGAAATAAAAATAAGCGTTTATATGATTTTTTTGGGCTATTTGCAAAATTAAATCGATTTAAGACTTTTCTTTTTCAGTTTGCAATTGGTGGTAGCATTGGAAATTGTGTTAAGATAATTAAAAATATGTGGGCTTTTTAAAAACTGTTTTAAGAGGGAGGAATAATTATCTATCGCGTTGTAATCTTCTATTGCTTTTGATATCTAATTGCAAAAAAAAGTAGTCAGAAAATTTAATGCGTACTGTATCTGACAACGCCTTTAAAGAGCTGTAGTATGAAGTGAAAAGTTAACAGAGTTATTAATGATATGCAGAAATCGTGTAATACATAGCATTAATGTTGCGAGCCATTCTCAGTGTTAAAGGCAGTTTCATAATTGGTGCAAGTTTAGATTTTTATCAAAAGTTTTGGCGCTAATTTTTATGGTAATCGATTTGGTAAAAATTTAGTCTCCGTCTTGTTTCCATTGTATAGTATGATTGATTTGAATAGGTTGAATATTCATTGGGTGTATATTATTTAGTTTGTATCATTGCGTTAGTTACTGCAGTATTGGTAAAGCATTACTGAAGTGATTTTGTTTGCATTTTTCTTGCAGGCATTCAAGGAAAATTTCACTTCGCTGTTTTACCGTATCAATTATGATCTTATACGAAGATTTGAGGCATAATTTTTATGGATCCGCAAAAAGAAATGTAAGTGTTTACTTTCATTACATTTAAGATTCATTACATTATGTAAGTGAATTATTATCTTTTTTTTAAAGTAATAACAAGGATAAGTTTCGAAAATGGAAAAGTTATTTAATTTCTACTGCAAAAGTGGAAAATGTGCTGAATGCTTACTCTGTCTACTGAATAATTTGTAACAAACTACTAACAGTTTTCGTTTTTATTCGAAAAAATAATGTAATCAATAATGTAAATGCTTGATTTTTATATCGGTGATCAATCAATATATAACCCATTAAAACATGAAAAAATCAGGGAACTTTGAATAAGTTGAAAACTTTTTCGACTTTAGGGATATTTTCAGCATGTACTCGTTATCGCAAATACCGATGTGGATGCTGTTTGTGCTACTCAAATATTGTTGGTAAGTTATTGAAATATATTTGTACTAGCATGTCAAAAACTTGATACATTCCATCTATTATGTTGATTATATTTGAAGTATAAGTTTGTCATAATATTAATCTAATTAGTAGTCATGGAAATCTCAAGAATAAATTTACAAATGGGGCGTTTACAGCAATATCATTCGTAATGATACATCATAGTATACCGTTGCTGGTCTAAACAAATTGTAAGGAGGTTAAATTCAATTTATCACATGGCATCAAGATTTTGTCTGTAGATGTTGAGCTTTTCTTTCTGAAATTTTTATTAAAATTTTGAATCGCAAGAACTAGCAGAAATAAAGTTATTGTAGGATTTATTTTCGACAGATGATGTAGCATACACTCTTGTACCAGTGAGTGGTTGGGAAAGTTTTCGAACAGCTCTAAGGCAACATGGTGAACAAGCACATTCTATTGTATTGTTCAATTGCGGAGCCACTGAACCGTTACTACGATATCTTCGATCTGGCATGACGTTATATGTTATAGATTCCAGACGGCCATTGAATTTATCAAATGTTAGAAGTATTTCCATAGTTCCTGTAAGAAACAATAAAAAACTGATTATAATCATGATATTTGACAAAATCGTTGTTTATGCGATTACTTTGATATTGTTGACGAGATATTCAACCTTTTTTTCTAAAAACAGTTGGTTTCGAATATTTAAGAACTTTCAGAATGCAGTTTTGTCATGGTGACTTTGTTGTGTTAGATATTTTTTTTAATTTTATAAATTAATTTATAAGGGGTAAATTAATTTTAAAAGTGTTTTCTAAAAAATCTGCAGTAAAGTCTTTCGTATGTTACCAAACACCTTAGAATGATTAAACTTTTTTCATTTAACTATTGTATGAATTTTTAATATAATCGTAAATTAAATAAGTTGAATCAATTTCAAAATATTTGTTAAAATGTCATTCATTTTATAGGTTTATTACGACAAAAGTATTCGTCTTATAGTAAGTAAACAAGAATGGGAGAAATTAGAAATTCCTGACGCATCTGATGTGGATGTAAGTGATAGTTCATCTTCTGAAAGTAGTGAGCATGACAATGAAGCTGAAGTGGAAGGTGTTGGAAGCACAAGTAAATGGTTTTCCTGTTCATTTTCTTAATTTTTATATTTATATTGAATGCTGTAAATTTCAGTGGTGTAACTAATGAATTATTTCGAGCATTAGTCGAAAAATCTATACTTTTATCATGAATCTTTTATTGCTTTCGAGCATTTTTAGTTTGTGATAACTTGCAGCTGTTGGTAGTGATCAAGTAGAAACAGCGCGAAATGGAAGCGATGATAATGATAATGATGATGATGTAGAAAAAACTAATACAGAGCAGCCCGGAGGATCCCATTCTAGGCGTAGGAAAGAAATGAGTGATGTGGCTGATTACATTGGAGTGAGAGAAGCCAAACGACGGAGACGTATGGAAATGAAAAGACGCCGGGATGATATTCTTTGGAAATACTATGAGAATTCGTGGTATAGTGCATCTGTTAGTTCTTTTTTATTCATTATTACTTCCAGGTTTTCATTGATTTGAATTTAATTTTCATACATATATTAAGTGAGATGGAAAATTTGGGGCTGTATTCAAGTTTTTAGCTTTGATTTCTCCTATAAATGAATTTTATCGATGATAAATTGAAGCTTGAATATATTTCAGCAACATTAATTTTTCGTCATATATTTCTGGAAGTATTAGAAAACATGAAATTATTTGCTATTTTTGATTATGCTGATTTGTAAGTCGGAAAAATTATGATATGCATGAATTCAAATAGAAACTTATGCATTTCGTCTTTGATTTTATGGTGGTTTTTATGAATGTGTCATGAGTTATGTCATTCTCTATCTTTCCAGAGCGCTGTATTGATGCTAGAAGTGGCTCAGTCAATAGGAAGAGCTACTGTTGAAATGATGTGGTCAGCAGCTGTTGGAATAGGCAGTCAATTAGTGGAATATTTAATTAGTCATGATTGCTACACTATGGTTTGTTTCGAACGTTTACGAACTTTTAGGATGAAATTTTGTCCAGATAAATCTGATATCGTGCGAGGAGATGATATTCTTCGGCTAAAGTTCGATTATGAGTATGTTGATTTCTCATATTGCTTTGGAAAATATACAGTGATATTTAATTTCCAAAAAGTGTGCAGGTTCTCGACAATTCTCGACAAAAAGTCTTCCTCAATTTTTAGGTTTTCAGTATTGATAAATATAGAACCAATATAGGACAGGGATACACCATGAGTTACTATCATGCCATTTCAGAATCATGTTACCTTTATATAGTCATTGGTCCTTATATACCAGTATGGCAAACAACGATTTTTTTTATTGCTTAACACATTTGTGGCAGCAGAGTGGCATATTAGCATTGAAATCAATCTTAGCTCAGCTGGAGTAAATTTATATGTTTATTTGTTTTTGTATTCTTATCTGACGTACTCTATTTTTTTTAGTCTCAACAGTTGTTTTCTCAAAAATTTTATTCTTGTTATTTGGTATCATGGATCGATTTGTATTTTTCTCCTTCAATTTTCAGTTGAACAAGTTCTCAATTTTAAAAAACTAAATAAATTCTATAATGATTGAGGTGTAAGATTTTAGAATTTAATAGACTTTAATATATGAGTTTAACTGAAATGAGTATTTTAAGGTTTTACATGACTTCTTCATGGTATAAAATAGATATTTTGTTATCGTTGAAATTTATGGAATTCAATGATAAAGTCTTTGATGTGGTCAGAAATTGATTTTAAGAGTAACACTGGAAGAAAGTTACCAAGTGTATTCTGCCCTTTCAACAGAACGAAAAAAAGATGTATTTAGTCGCCTGTATAAACGAATGGGTGACGAATTTGCCTCTTTTACGGCTCACATTGGATACAGCTCTAAGTAAGAATTTGAGCTTATTTTGATTACTTTTTTTTCGAAAACCCTTAAAAGTAATCTTATAATAATAGCATTCAACCTTTTTCAGTATGTTTCGACGCTATTAAATCTCACTATGAAATTTCAGCATTATTTAATTATATAGAAATGAAATTGTAGTGAGCATTATTGAAAATTATCTTAAAAAAGACCCTTTTTAGTTTCAGCAATTGTTTTCTCAAAAATTCTGTTCCTGTTATTTAGTATCGTGAATCAATTTGTATTTTTCTTCTTCAATTTTTTTTATCATTAGTTTTTTCTGTCATCGAAATCAAATGCAAAAATTAGTATCATTACTGGCGAAGCTTTCTAAAAAGTTATAGGTAATACAGTGCATTAAAAAAAAAAACGTACAAGAGAAGAAAAAAATATGTGAACGTTGGAATAATTTTTTGGTATATAAATAATAAATTAAAAATAAAGATGCGAAGATTTGTTTTAAAAATTTTTCGCAGATATAACTGTTGTGACTTTTCTCGTGCTATGGCTGGGCGTTTAAGTTATGGATTAACTGAGAAGGAAATGCCTTTCGATCGTTTTATTGGAGCTCAAGAAATTTTACAAAAGTTTATGGAAGGTTTCTTTTTTAAAACTATAATTTCAAGCAGAGGTAATAAATATAAGGATCAGTTGCATTTGGATTATGTTTTTAATGTCTAAATTTTCTGAGTATATTTTTATAAAATCAGAGATCGCCCTATACGTTCTAGACGTTTTCTTTTCATATTTATTCATTACGTGCTTTGAGCATTCATAGTTTCAGTTTTGTCCGAAACTTCATTGATCTTTGTAAATTTTCATGCTAAACTTCTGACTTCAACATAATTTAATTTTTAGATCTAAAAAAACAAACTAAATTCTATTTTCAGGAAGAGATAGGTCACCATTAATATCTGCAATAGATTCATATAAAGATTGCTTGGTGAGTGTTGTGAACCTAGTATCGATGACAATCAGCCAAACTTTAATTGTTTCCGTCGGATCTTTCTACCTTCTTTGTCTTCCTCAGGTATTGTTTTGAAAATATTTTCGTTGTATTTAAGAGATATTGCAAGACTTTGCGATGGCTGGACATTTTATTATTAACTTTGGAAATCACTATTTTAATTACCAGACAGGATTACATTTTACTTTTATTTAGGAAATCGAAGATCGCCCTATACGTTCTAGACATTTTCTTTTCATATTTATTCATTACGTGCTTCGAGCATTCACAGTTTCAGTAGGTTTTTTTCGAAACTTTATTGATCTTTCTATATTTTCATGCTAAACTTCTGTAAAATAAACTTTGAAGCCAAAAGGTTATCGTTCAGTGCTTATTTAGAATTTCAAGTTAAATAGCAACAAAAATTATGGACTGTACAGTATTTTATTTTTTGTGAAAAGAATTAGTGCTCACAGTGTCATGCACTGTACAGGTTTAAAGATAAGAAATGTGAAAGCAGGAAAAGAATTTCGTCCATCACATGTTAATGCTATTTTTTAAACTTTTCACTTTAGATTGGCCTATTTTTAGAGTCGATTTAGAAATCGTGGTGATCGGCCATTATTTGTTGCTATTCCTATGTCTGGAGAAGACAGGGGATGGTTTCTGATAACTGGCTTAATGCCTGCCAATACAGATTATGTTGATGAAAATCAAAAAAGGTTCCTTATATTCATGAGTTACTTAATAATCTGTTTATTTTTTTTAAGAGTTCATATTTTGTTGTAATATAATACAATTAATTGCATAATACACTGGTTGCAAATTTGCGATTTTGTAGGCTGATTCACATAATATAATTTAGTAATGTTTTCACTTTTCATGCTGTTGTTTTGAAAAAAAAAGATCAGAATAATTTCCTGTTAAATGAATTTGAAATATTTTTCTGTCATTATCAGTTTTATTGGTCGTGCGATTCAAAAAGTCGTAGAAAATTACATTCATGATGGAGCACGAAGAGATTTTTTCGATTCCTCAAGTAAGATAATTTCTCTGTGTTTTCTTTTTCATCTAGATATTTAGTTTGTCTGAAATTTAACTTATCAAAAGGCTGAATCTTAAATTCAGCATGGAATTATCATGCTGGAAACAGTAATGTAAAAACCAATATTATGTTCTTTGTTATTCTCATTTTTAAATCCAATTAAGTGGTGTTGATTCGATCGGATCAAAAAGCTCGATTTTTTGACGGTTTGCAAGCAACTTTGGAAATCGGATGAGAGCATAAATTAGTGTTTTCAATTTGTGTGATCAGTTTTGAAAGTTACGTCTTACCCTGTATTTTTGAAGTAAAACTATTTTTATTATTAATGAAAAGAGCTGTAAGAAACGACTGAATTAACCATTCTTTGTTACTTGGCCACGCATGATAACATGCAAAAAATTGAGCATGCGAAAAATTGTAGAAAATTTTTGTTTTTAATATTTTTACTTTAAGAAGTTTGAATGTGTGGGAATGCATGTATATCGTTATCAACTATTTCGAATACAAAATCATCGATGTTTACTGGTTCCTACTTCTTATCTTTATGTTGAAAATGGTATTGTTTTATAATGGAAAAGAGACTGAAATTGTTTCGATCTAAACTAGTAATTACGCACACTTGCTATCGCTTGATGCTATTTCATTGATATTCGCGAAAATCCCGATAATTTGTATTCTTGCATATTGCTCAAAGTTTTAGTGTAAGGTTTATTTTAGTCTTCGATTTTTGCAGGTTACATTACAAGATAACTGAATATGAACTTTAAATCTCAGCTTGCACTCTTCATAATAATTTCATTTTTTAAGGTCATTTGATTATACACTATACATCTCAAGCAGTTACCTATTATACTCGTCAATAGTTGTAGTAATAAATCATGCCATTTACCTGTTTAAAAAGTGCAAGACATAGACAGAAACCAGTGATAATTGATTGCACGTTTTGCAAATCTTTTAAAAGCTTAATAAATGAATACAGAAGTGCGTGAAGAATAATATTGACGAAATGATTCAGCTATTATTCAGTTGACTTTCTTAAAAGTATCCATCCAAATAATTGTGCAAAATTGTCATCAGTTTGTTATGAGATTCCATCACTTTGAATGCCTTATGTTATAATATGAGGAGAGAGATTAGCATTAATCAAACTAATATTATTCTAAAAAATTTGCTCTTCTAATGTAAATATTTTCAATTCTCATTAAGTTTTGATGAAGTAATCTTGTCTTTTTTGTTCAGAAAACTAAGTATTGCTCTACGAAATATGTTAAATAACGCCAAATCGTAAGTCTCATTGAATATTATTGAATCTAAATGTGTTTCTACAATCAACACAATTGTTCCGTTTGAAACGATTTAATTTTTATTTCATATATATTCAAAGACTGTATTTTTATACTACCTTGTCGCCAACAGAAAAAGATCAGATATTCTAACTGATCAATCTTTCATGCAATGTTTAGACAAAAACTACAAGAGGGACAAATATTCGTGTGCGCGTGTTTGTGTGGATGTGAACCCTTTCGAAATCTTTTTCAATTCAACTATAACAAACAACTCAGATCAATCCAAAGTAAATATATTCACAAACAGTAATTGCAAGAACAAAATGCTTACGACAGAACACCGCAATATTTTGATTAACAAATGTTTAGAACAAAAGACAAAAATTACAAAACCATTGATAAAATATGCATAAAAATGCAGTGCAAAGTATTGAAATAATTGCTCCATACTCAATTTAAGAAATGAGTATTAAAGCAAGCAGACATGAAGTTATAAATATCTACAGGCCTGGATATCATGAACCTAGCAACCAAAGGGACATACTTTGCACTCCTACTTCATGATTATATTTGATCTACAATGGACTACATATCTCTAGATTGTTCTTTTTCTAACTGCAATTGCCAGTAATTTGCATCGAATTGTTAATAATTCGCATCTGTTGAAGTAAGCTTTACGCGACTTCATGGCTTCAGTTCCGTAATAAACCGAACCATTATGGAGGTAATCACTTATTTGCTAGCAATTATAATCGGAAAATATTTAACGAAAATAAATCCCAAACTTAGATCGAAAAAAAACAATTTCAACCATTGTGCAAAGTATGTAGCTCGATTACGTCTACTGATATTTATAATTTTTCAACATTTTATGGGGACTAATACATTCCGCAATCCTTGAATATCATTTAATATCACTTCCTGCTCCATCTATTAGAAGTTCTGTCCTGACAGTAATACAAATAAATTACAGTAATAATTTCCATAGCGTACAATTAGCAAAGCGACACTAATGCATGAATTCTTTTATTGAAATACGAATTAGTCAAGTGAAGAAAAACTTTTAAAACTGACATCCTTTGCACATGCACAAAATTTATTTATCACATCAATCAGTTCAATATCCATACTTGCTTCGGTAAGCAAGCTTTTAAGGAGAAACAATAACAAACAAACATCAAAACATGAAGCAAAATATATTTAACAGGAGAACTCACATTTAAAAACTCTATTTTGAAAAAATTTAAAATGTAAATTCTCAATTACAATCGTACCAAATGATTCAGTCTTTCAATAATGTTCATTATTTGTCTTTGTCGTTCATGATAATCATTATGGCTTTCTACAGAATTCACAAAATCATCTGCCCTTAGCTGAAATAATACTCAAATAACTTGGAACAACCATGAAGTAAATTAGAACATGGTCACTAAAACAAGTAGAACTTGGTCACTAAAACAAGTAGAAAACATGGTCACTAAAACAAGTTCTACTTGTTTTAGTGACCATGTTCAAAAGATCGAGAATACACTCAGCTTATAACATATTACTAGCGAGATCATCTTGTTTGATCATTCAAAAAACTGCGAGCCCAATTTAAAATAGAAACTAAGGTATTCGTGAGAAAAACGAACCTCTGGTTTTAAAACATTTAAAAGCGTAAAACTGGCTGACTCTACACGGTTGACTCGCGGTACCTTCATTACATTGCACTTTTTTGGTGAGTTCTGAATACACATAACATAAACGAAATATACAGCTTCACAAAATATTTCGCAATATATAATTCAACAAACTAGATAAAAATACTCATACCTTTTTTGCTACTCGTTTACGACTCACCGACTTTGCCAAACATTTTGTATCTGAGTTCTTACTTACTCTCAAGTCTAATTTCTTGCCATCTTTATTAGAATCCGACTGCTCAGAATCTTCTTCGATCCACTTACTATTTCGTCTAGTTTTTAACCTTAAATGTTTAGTTATGCAAAACACAAGTTAAGAAACAGATCCATATCAATAATTAACTGATTAAGTATATTTAATCATACCTAGAAACTTGTTCTTCCAGAACTTTAAGATCTTTACCGAGTATTTTCGTCATATTCACAGTAGTAATACTATGACCAAGCAATGTAGAAGAATGAACATGGCCCTGGCAGGAAAATGTATTTTTGACACAGACATCCAACAATTTACAGTTGTCCTATTGCAAAAAACATTTTGCTCATACGTCAAAGCATAATAACAGAGCACAATACATAATCATGCATTTTTATAGTGTATCTTATATGGAACAAATATGCAATAACTTTTCAAATTTACAATAATTTCTATGTGGATGTAAGCAAAAAAAAATCAAACTTTAAAAATTTTCGAATGAAAACATGGGTCATCATGTTTAAGCAGCTCTTTAAAGTCCAAACGTTCGACTTCTGCCAACAAGCCATCGCTGAAATGAAAATTATTACAAATATAATTTCCATTTACTATTATTTTAATAGAACAAGTATTTTTTCGTACAAGAGAAAAGAAAATGAATGAACTTATGGTCCACGTTTTCAGCCCAGTACTCAACAATTTCAGGAGAAACAGTGGACGGTAGCATCCGTGGAACATCATTGCATAATTGTAGACCATGAATATGTTCTGATGGTATGCAATCAATAGTTGATTCAGCTCCCATGAAACTGTAGATATTCTAAATTGCAATCGCAAAATATTTTTCTGCACTAGTATTCATTCTAGATTGTGATGATAAAAATATAACCAAACAGATTTGGATTACTAAATCTATTTTTTTTGGAACTTCTTCAAGAACTTGAAAAATTGTTTAATAACATAAACTTACCGTTTCATAGCCTGCACAACATATAGCAAAAAGATTTCCGTTTACTGTTATTTTAATATTGGCTGTATTACGAAGAGTGCAAAGGCTGAAGAACTAATTGCAATTAAGTTAAGCAACTTTTTATTCTAAGATGAATGTATAATCAGACTGGAGAAAAGTAACAAAAGTATAAAAAACAAACAAAAACAAGAAAAAAATATACCCCTCATCTAAACAAATTAAAAAATCCAAAAAACCAGCATTTACTGCAGATGCATCAGAACCACATGGTGCAATAATGACATTGCACTTTCCATCCTATAAATACTTGTTCCTTAAATAAATATAAGAATTATTAAAATATTTTGCACTGAATTCACAACTTGAATAAACTTTGCTTCATCATGAAATTGTATATCATTACAGGGATTCAGACGCAACTGCAATACGAAAAAATAAACTATCCTTACTTTCAGCATATTTTCCGAAATTGTCATCTGCTTCCCAGTTTCTGAAGTACAATATAACTATAAGAATAAATGCATTAGAAAACTGAACAATTCTATACTTCTTAAGAAGGCACTAAAAAAGAAAGAAAACAATAAAATAAATAAACTTTCACTATTTCGATTTTCATGAGAAAAAAATTGCACCATCTTTTGTTAAAAAGAAGACAAATGCAGAATTTCTTCTCGAAAGTCGTGATTTAATTGTTGCAAGCAAACTATTAATAAATAACGGATCTTGATCTCTACATAAAAGTACCACTGTTGATTTTTGGTTATCTGAAAAGAATAAAACATTTTGATACTTTCTTAATTCTCGTTACATTTGAAAAAATATTGCTCAATAATAAACGTACCGTAAACTGTACGAGTATTTATTAGTAGTGACACAAGCGTATCTAGTTTATAACACTGTAAATCGTCAGGCCTTGAAATTGTTGGCAAAAAGCAAATTTCCTTCAAAAGTTCATTTGACTGCACAATATCTGCTATAACTGTACTTCGGGAAGTTAAAGCTAAAAGATTTATATTTTATAATACTTACAATTCACGATTATTACAAAAAATCACTAAGGATAGGTTAATTACACATTATCAAATGCAGTCAGCGATGACTAAATTCTGACATTGGAATGTGTGCCAAGGTTTAAAAGGTACTAACCTTGAAGACTATTACCAAAAGCAGTTAGACCATAACACATCAAAATATTATATGATGATAAAAGGTCAAAAAAATCACAGTAAATTTCCACCAAATGACTTGTTTTACTTTGCTGAACTTTGCTTTGCAAATACGATATAGAAAAATTTGCAATTTTCTTCACATCTTTTGAAGGAATAACTCCACCTTCACAGAGTAACAATGCCAAGGGTTCAAGTGCCTGAATATGACAAAATACGTTACGATACAGCAGAATAGGAAGTAATTTATCATGAATTCCACCTTATCTAATAAAAATTCTAATTACCTTGTTACCTTTAACAGATATACATACTACTTGTATCCCCTCACATATTCCTAGGAATGAACGGGTGGACAGTGTTCTTAACTTAGTTGTGTTTTTCTCTTTTATCTATTAGCAAAAGCAAACAGTGAATTTTTCAATGATAATACTACTGGACACATTAATTATAATAATATAATAATGATATATAAAAGTAAAAATCACTTTCAATAATTCCTTCGCAACACGTCGCATCTTATCATCTATCTTTACGTAAACCTTTTGCATTCGATGTGAAGCAACAGTCAATGAAACATCATCCTTTAGGAAACTTAATGATCTTATCAAATCAATTTGAAGATTCATCACAATTAATTGTAGCTGTCCAACATTATCAATTTTATAGTCCATATATGCCAAAACACGGAATGTAGCCTATGAAAGTGCATATTTTTTACATAACAAGAAGGCTGAATCATCACTAAGAAAATAATTTTCATTTAAAATGAACATAAACGGAGGTATTTTCGTCAATTTTTTAATATTAAAACTTAAAAGCCCTCATAACAAAAAATCACCGAATGTAAAAACAAATTTCAAGTTAAAAATGAAACTTTTGCAAAAATACAATTTCGAATCAATGTAGACAAAGGATGAGAACCAGACATGGCACGATGAGCGTCTTCCACTACAATTAGACAAATTTCTGATAATCCTTCTTTATCTTTTATTTCCGCAACAATACTCTAAAAACAAATTAATATTAAAAGCCTGATTGGTTACAGTGAAGTTTTATGTTCACAGAATGATTATACTAGTGGAATCTATATTTTGCCAAGAATTAAAAAAACAAAGCAAAATTATACCTTGAATTTGTTCAAAAATACAGTTCCACAAATATATCTTCCCTATAACTCATAAAACAAAAACTATTCTTAAATGAAGATTGAGCTCATTTTGGAATATTTATATTTCTAATGTTAGTCACAGACCTCTGCAGTAGCAAATACAATATCAAGTTGCATCCATTTGAGATGACGAGCATTCTTTTTCAAGCTTGAGTATACACAAACACCAGATGAATAACCTGTTATTTCTACGAATCGCTTAGCTGCTTTAATGGATGAAGCTATATTATTGCATATGCATAGAACTTTTTGCATAGGAAACCATCTGCAAATTTTGTGATATAAACTTAATAATCAGTTATTTATAACAGTGATATTTTAAAAATGAACTGAGACCCAAGGTGATCTAAATTAAACATTTAATCTTCGAACTGTAATAATAAATTGATAAACTTGACATTTTTAAAATATCACTGTTATAAATTACTGATTATTATGTTGTAGCATCTTATCATGACTTCGAGTACAGTCATGATAGAGCATTTTCTCACAATATGAAGTTTAAATTTTCTTAGGATGTCAGCTATAAACATAGTTGACACCTTATCACTGACTCACAGTTCAAAAACTTATAATCTACAAACTATTGTGTATTAATGATCTGAACCAGATATTAAAATTGCATGAATGCGAGAATAAATCAATTTACCAATCACATACGATCAGTTATCACTAAAATCACATAAGTGATAAGCTACTTAACGAGCATCTGCTGTTTGTTAAAGTAAATTTCCACTGCAATTCAAATTTCTATATTAGAAAATATGGAGATATACTATCTACACACTTTTGATGAGAAGCTATTATTATACTTTTAACCAAAGGCCCTGATAAAGACATAATAAAAACCTGTGGAAATTAAGCATCGTAACAGCAGCAACAAAGAATGTATCCAACTCTTTTGGCAGCGCTATCAGTATATTATTATGTAATGAATCCAAAATTAGTTTCTTTTGATAAGCACAAACAGGTGTATTTACTGGATAAAACAAACGACGCATTGCAAACTGCTGGGATCTTCTTAATCTGTAAATTACTATAAATCCGAGTTTCAGATGTGCATTAACTTAACCACAGTTATGGTCGAAAGTTATTCATATTTAATTAAGAATTACTCAAAATATTACTTTGCAATATCTAAGGTACATTTTTTATACTTCCGATTAGATACCACAGGTGCTACTTCTGATATTATTCTACTATTCAAATGTGTGAATCCAAAAGGTTCCATATAAGTACCGACCTGAAACAAAGATTTACACGATGTTACATTTGTATTGAAGGCTTATACACGCAAGTACTTACACCAGTCTAAAATTCCAATCGAATGACAAAGTCTGCAAAGTAAGAAAAACAGTATACAGTACTGATCTGAACATCATTCAAGATTGCAGATATCTTCGATTTTATGCCCATGAAAAAGCTAAATAAAAAGGAAACAAGTAAACCAGATAAAAATCGACGGAATCTGTTCTCTAGAATGCTGTATTGATTTAAAGTCAGGATATAGTGTTCACAAAGATGGAGGGTGAAAGGAGAAAAGCAGTATTCGAAACCATAAGAAAAAACAATGGGAAAAACAGATAATTTGTAGAAAGCTTCGTAAAGAATGTGAGAGAGCACCCTGCCAGAGTAAATGAAACAAAAGCCAGTGGGATAACGCCTGGAAGTACTCATTGGAAGAACGAATCGAGGTTACGCAGAAAGGCTGAAGAGACGAAGTGCTAAAAGCGGTTATTAACCCCTTTGGGAGGATGCATGTGCTTTAGTATGCAGCACAAACTTGTCGCCCCCTGTATTGCAAGAATTTATCCATGTGATAAGCACTTAAGAACGGAAGAATAACTTTTTTAAAGAACCACTTGTTTGCTTTCCGGCATATAAGACAAACAAGTAGTTTCTGCAAAAAATTAATCAGCTAACGCGCGACAATTAAATCTTCAACACTTGCTTGAGTTTGAACTCTAACCTAAGTTCATATGTAATAAGTATCAAGAATGACTTCCAATAATTTCTGTACAAGAAATAATTGCACAAAAAGCAAAATCGGAATGAACTGCAGCATAGTTATCGAATACTATGAAAATTTTACCACACTGGTATTATGAGATCACTAATGACGTGGGATAAAAACATAAGATGAAGAATAAATTAAGATTGCATGAAATTATGTACAAAAGATCACTTCCAAACTTGTAAGATCATATATTATATTGAGCGATAACATAACTGATACATCACCATATCATAAAAAGTGATGCTCACTTATAATAAAAATAAAGTCACTGAGTCAATAATTTATACAAAGACGAACTGATAAAATACTTTCAAATTTTTCTTCGTGACCAGTCTTTGGGCTGGAAATGAAGCTTTGATGGGTCAATTCTAACTTGACGTTTCTGTTGCCTTTTCCGATATGCTTCTAATAATTCATTGCTTAAGACGATGACATACTGACCTTTGTAATATTTATACAAGTTCAGCTGCTAAAATGAACAACAAAGATACCAGAACAGAATTTTTAGCCATAAAAAGTTTTAGTGGGACATAAATTACACATGATTCACCTGTAAAGTGGATATAATATCTTCTTTCCTAATACTTGTTTCTTCACTGAGATCATTAACTGATATATATAACTGATCTTCACATCGCTCACGATGTTGTACTAATGTTTCAATGATTTTTTGAGACCAAAAACTGCGGTAAGAAAGCTAAAGAGAAAACAATTATATAACGATTTTAATATTAAGCACAAACTTGATTATTTGACAACAACGAAATTATTATAAAAATATATGTCATGTGTGCACAAAATTCGCTAAAAATTATCTATAATGCTGTAAGGTTTGAGCTCGAATAGAATTCATTCAAAATAAAAATAAAGTCAGAACGACAGACAAACTTTAAATTATCGATATAAAAAAAGTCTAATAATTATTTACATGGCTTATTATTTTTATAGTACGAATATCGAGAACAATTATTTTTGACATGTTCTCATGCGGTAAATAACAAAAGTCGTCACTATCTGATGTTCTCGATTTTAAGCATTTCCTTTTCATATTATTTCTGTTAATTAATGAGTGAGATGAAATTTAAATTTGCGAAATATCAAATCACTGAATTTGAGAACCTACCGTCTTAATTTAAAGCAATATCTTGTAAAATAAAAAGTACTAGATTATAGTCAAAACTTTGACAAAGTCAAGCTATTTAAAAAAGTTTGACAATACAAATTTTCATAAGATGGAGATCAAAGAAATGCTTGGAATTTCGACCCATGTTTTATTATTACGTAGCTGAAGTACTGCAATGGGATTACACAACTTAAACATACCAATCCTAAATCCGAAAGCGGTTTTTCTGGAGAACCAGTTTTACCTTCACACTTTGATAATTCATAACTGAATTCAATTAGAAGTCGCCCATAACCTTTTTTCTGATAGGGAGGAAGAACCAAAATGCAGGCCACGTTGTATTCTTCGGCTGATTCTTTTTCCTTAAGATCTGGCTATTAAACGATCTCGAATTCAAAATCAAGCAGTACTAAGCGAAATATGGAATGATAAAAAATAAAAAACCTTTGAAAAATATCCAACAATGTGAAAACCACGGTCATCCTGTTCAGTTAAAATGTAAAAAAGAAACGGATCAGTGTCATAATACAGTGTTTTATGATCTAGGAAAAGCTTGGCCAACAAGCAAAGATTTTGAGCATATATCTGAAAAACATAGCATCCGAAAATGAAGAGAACACTAAAAAGTGAATCGGCAGATAAATACCATAGAAAAAACCGACTTTGTTCTTTCTGCCATCGATTTCAAAAAATGACAGCTTCTCAGAACGATATATTTCGTTGCCTGGTGGATGTTTCAAATGACACTTATTCTGCAATATCCATTTCTGAACAAACAGTTACAGACATGTTTTAAAAATAACACTAGCTGCTGGAATGAAGCACTATAAAATACGCATGGGAAAAACTACATTTAACAATCAGACCCTATATTCAAAGCTTATTTTGTCAGTTTTCTGAATAATTGCACTCAAATAAATATTACCATATGTCGCTTGAGACATGTAGTGCTTTTGACAAATTTCAAGCAAAATTCGCAAAGATATATACATGAAAGAGAGGTTAGCTCCTGTGGATAAGGTGAAAAATACCACGGTTGAATCCTATAACGTCCCAATTCAACCATTTCGATATTTCTAATTCGAGTTAGTGCATCTTCACCATGTCCCATAATAGACATTGAACCCCGCTGCGATGGTGCTGAGGTTTATCATTAATTGTATTATAACTTTCATAATTCTAGCTTTTCCAATTTAGATAAGAACAGTATTATTGACAACATTCTTGATACTGTTAATCTTACAAACCATACAAAAATAAAATGCAGTGGAAATATATAACTGCTAAAGAACAAGTGAAAATATGGGACCTTTAATTTCTGTTAAATATGGTGACGATGGGCGTGGTGCCATTGCTTGATCCTCCACTTTTACAATATCTTTTGATTCTCCACCTAACTTTCTTTTTCGTGATGCACATTTTTTTGGGACTTCACGGTCTGGGGACGACGTATGCGAACTATAGAGAAATTGCTTAAATAAGCCTGTTTTTGGATTTACCATTTACCTAATCGTCGATTACAATCCATGTAATGCATTTATAAGAAATACCCAAGTTCACATTTAAAATAAAACTTTTGAAATGAATATCATGCTTAACACTTGCAAATAGATAGGAAGCCAAGATGTTTACCTATTTGATGTCTCGATTTGTAATTTAGGAGCTTTACCACCTTTTAATGGAAAACGAACATTGGTAAGATCCAATGCCGACTCATCTACCCATTCATCTAATCGTCGATTACAATCGATGTAATGCACGTAAAACTTATACTTTCGTTCTGGTGTAATTCGTGTCGATAGAATTTCCGCTTCCCCTACAAAAATCTTATTAATTTCAAAAGTAAATTACACGAAACTTATTAAACTTGCTACTTGCGGTAAAGTACAAAATGTCGTCGTGAAAACGATAAATAAAGACTTACGAAACTCAGTGCTCCCAGTCATCCGAACACCAAGCTTTGTTCCATCGACTAAACTTTCCACCGACCATTTTTCATTTGCATCCATTTTCTTTTTCTTCGTGCTGTTAATATAGCAATTTTAATGTGATAAAAATGGTAAACACTAAATCAAAATTATTTTTAGAATGTAATATTCTTCAATTTCATAAAAGCGTTCGAAAATATTAAAATTAAAGTCCTGCGCATTTGTACTTTCGTGATTAAACTCTGCTAGTTGCACATTCACACATAATGCGTAGGCACTAAATTACAGTTATACAAAAGTAACAAGAATTAATATGAGCTAAAACTTACTGGCGATCATCTATTAATTAACAGCGATCTGATCAATTTAAATTCCCCCTAACAGTACAAGTTTTGAAACTCAAAGATTGCATACTCTTTGAAATTATGGGATGAATTCTGAGGAACAACCTTTTAAAGAATAGCAACGATTGACTACGTCATCTCTGAATTAGGTACCCAAAAAAAGTTGAGACCTTACATCACCTCCAAGTCATGAAGCAACATAATTGTCAGACTTTCCATTACTTTGAGATCACGTAACCACACGTAAAACTTGCTACCCACCTTTGGATACAAAATGTATAAAAGTCCGGTCTTGGAGAAATGCAGGTATTTCAAGACTATAAAGTACAGAGTAGAGTTTTGTTACAATGTTTAATACTTATCAACGTGGTTTATTTATACAACTGGTCAGTAACAAAGAATGATTGTTGTGCATAAACCCATTGATTGGATGGCCGATTGGTCGATCAATCAATGGTGAGGATGGATCTATTCTTGATTTGAGATGACGTTAGGATCTTGTTGAAGTGAGACAATTCCTTTCATTGTGTCATCCTCTTCGTCATCACTGTCTTCGTCCTGATTTAATGCCTCAAAAAAATTAGACATAAAACGCAGTAATGCAATTTGAGTTCTTCTGCCTTGTTCAATGAAAATTGGCCTCTCATCAGAAATAATTTGAATAGTATTTATTGTAGTAGTAGTAATTTGTACAATAATGTATTGCAAATAATATTCATGAAATAAATAAGGATGAAAATTGTAGTAACTGCTATTGCTATTGATGTTATCAATTTATTAATTGCAAGCATAAATCATTCTATGATAAAATTAATAAAATTCAGAAACAAGTTTGTATTTAAGTTGTAAATTTGATAGACATAATGCTAGTGATGGAGTAATAAAGAGGAGATAACAGTAATCAATTATTTGTAATATCAAAAGATTATAATTAAGGCTTCAGAATGAATAATTTATCAGAGTTTCATTACTGATAGATTAAAACTGCCCGAGTGATTTGCTCGTTGGACTAATAAACAAGCTGACTTACTGGCTACTAAGTATTGAGTAATAGCTGCAAAAGTTTTGAGCATTACTCAAAGTATATTAAGAGATCCATAGTAGGATTGATTATTCACTACTCTTCTGATGCAAGAAATCTTCTGAAGTAAATTATTTTTGTGCTAAATTGAAATGTAACGAAGAAAAGGTAGAGAGATGTATAAGTATGATTGAGAAGATAGATATTGATGGAAAATAAATTAAATACAAACAGCTAAATAAGAAATAAATACCTTTTAATTATCAGTTTTAGCTGAGATAAATAATGATAAAATGAAGAGAACAGATCAAGGCGGCAGGTGCGATGTTCACGGTTATTATTATTACGGTAGAACTATGTACGGTATAAATTTTCTTCGATAGTAATGACAGTAAAAATCGTGGTCGGATGCAAAATAAAGAATTTAATTTGAACTGGTTGTTCATCATAATTACACATGTGTCAGCAAGACAAGAATAATTATTAAAATCGCTTTTGAAGACAATAAACACAAATGACGATATTATTATCATTGTTATTGTTACTGTCATTGTCATTATTGTTGATATTGTTAATATCGTTACTTTTATTGCACATTAGTGAAAAATTATTAGTAGTAAGGTTTGAAGTTAAAATTTGCTAACCAATTGTGAATCTTTGTGTAATTCATCAGTTGCTTGGGCGTGCTCCTTGTCCACTTTTTCCTTCTTTGGATCTTTCATTTTTCGTTTCATTGATTTCTAAAAACTTCTGATAATATCACTAGCAGCAAAAAATATTGTATTCGTTTTATTTGGTGTAATAAAAGTACTGAAATTGTACTTGTCATGCCATTAATGGTACAACGTATAATAATTAATAAAATATCACTTTGTCTTACAACTGTATGAGACAACCATTGCTTGGGTGATGTTACATTTGAATACTGATAAACCATGAATATATTCAGTTAAAAAAATCGAATTTTACAGCAGTATATTTTCAACTTATTTGAACTGCGTCATTACACAGATATAAAATTAAAATCAGAGATAATTACTTGTTTAATGAGAAAATATTTACTTCAATCTCAGTTTTTACACTTGAATCATTATCTGCAAACACTTTTAGCTATGAGTGTAGGTAGATTTTTGCTCTGTGATAAGCTGAATTATGTTATCTATGAAATGAAGCACGCAGGAAGGGCGTTTGATACCGAATGTACAGTTATCATACTGTCTGATCATCTCAGACTATCATATACTATCATTTACATCTGAGTGTTAAGAACTTTCACAGTACTCTATGGGTGCATAATCATTACTTACTGCAAAAGTATACATTATATCATCAAAATATGGAAAATATGATTACAAGAATCATTATGAACCGTAACTTTACATCAGTAATTATGCTTTATGAGAACTTTTCAGGGTACGGTAATTAGAATTTGCAAAAATATATCATAAACAACTTACATATTTTTCGCACAGAACTTCGGTACTTTTTTTCTTCGCTTCTTTTATCCTCTAAATATTATCATAATTTTGTACTTCTGCGCATTTTTTGACTTCCGCTTTTTTAAATTTAGAGTACAAAAAATTCAGTGCTATCAGTTTTAGAAATTTTAATTTTTAGTGAGTTATAAAAGTTCACGCAAATTAAATAACTGACATGTATTAGATCCAATTTCTTTTGCTTGTCACCCTGTTTAATTGGTATATCACTCCTTTGAGTGGATTGTATTTGTGGCTGAAATTCAAAATATTTGTGTATCGAAGGAACAAACAATATTTGAAACAATTTAATTTGCTGTAAAATTTTAGTGATGAAAACTTTAAGTTATTGCTTAAAGTTGAATTATTTTTTGTATTTCTAACAAAAATTTTTTGTAAATTTACTTCAACAAAATTATATGTATTACTGAAGTAAATAAAACAATTTGATGAAATAAAGCATAGAATTATTGTGATGATATAATTTAATTCTGTAAAACATTACTAATTATTCAAAAAATATTCTGTAGGCATTATTGATACAGCATGATAATTGTATAAATTTGAAATTGCAGAATTAATTAGATTATGTGAATTTTTTTATATTAAAATTTTCTCACATTTCTTTTGCAAGATTTCGCTTTCTTCACATCTTCCTTGCTAAAAGCGTTGATTGCTGCTTGTTTATCATTCTTAATTACCAGGTGTGATCAAAAATCATCATAATTTGACAAGAAAGCATTCAAATTGTTTTTCAAATTATTAACGGCTATAATTTTTTTTTAAATTATTACGTATTATACGTGAATATTTCTGTTGTGTTTTATTACACTTATCTTTTACAGCCTAGTAAAATTGTTCAGGATTATAAAAATTATGAATTCAAGTGCCAATAATACAATTGCTTCTGAAAGGATTAGTGCAATTAGCAGTGTTAATTTGCATGTGAATATTATTAAAAGTCGTTACATCAGTCTTTTTTGGTTTTGTATCTGCTCCAATCCTTTCCACTGTCACTTCTTTTACAGGGCTTGGAGATTTAGGAGTTTTCGCATTTGCAGTTTTCAGTGATGCTTTTTTTTGAGTTGTTGGCGATAGCGATGGCGATGGCAATTTTTTAGGCGATGGTGCCACTTTCAATACCTTTTCATAGCAAAAAATATATAAAATTATCACTTTTAAAAAAAATATTTAAAAAAACAGCAATAATTATAGCTTACTTGCAGTTAAAATTAAGTAATTTGTATTCTTTGAGCTATTTTTGTTTATCACATTGCACAGATATCAGTAATACTTGAAAAAGACGTTTACACACTATCAAAAATGTTATTAATAAAGATAGCCTCAATTCAACATATGACGCAGAAAAAGATCTTTTCATATTTTAAAACTTCCTTACAAAGCTGAAGGCAAAAAATTTTAGATTTGCTGATATAAAAAAAAATTCACTATAAACTATAATCGAGAAATTATCTTGACCTTATACATTTTCAAGCATAAGCAATTAAACAAATCTAACCTTTTTAACCCCTCGTCTTTTCGGCAAGCATATTACTGTTGCAATAAATAAATAGCAAATATTAAGCACTGCATATGTAGCTGATATCATTATCCTTAAAGTCATTCTTTTTTTACACTAACTATGAAAGCCTGAAATGGTATTCAATTAATTTACTAATAAACAAGTAATTATTTTCATTCTATTAAAACTGAAAAAATTTTCCAATTTCACAAAAATATTTGCCAGACTTAAGCATTTATTGAAAAATTTTAGCTAAAAGAAAGTTTACAAATTCATTTATGAGTGAGCACAAGCTTATGACTTGCATCCTTTGCAGCTTATATATCGTACTGTATTACCCTATTTCTGTATTTTACCGACAATATTAAAACTTATGTCAATATTAGTCATCACTTTGTTCCATAATGTATATTTATGGGAAGTTTAGCAAATTCATACATCAATGAAGTGTTGCCTTGTTGCCAACAACCGCCTTGCAGCAAATGTTGCATAAAAAACGGATATGTTACGATTTCTTCTGAGAATTTATACTCCATAAATTCTTCACACAAATTTACGTTTTACTCGAACTTTTTAATTGAAACAAAGTTATCTAACTTTTCTTTAATTGACTGACTTTTTACTTCCTTCAAATATATGCAAATAAACGAATGTTATATTCGATTAAAGCATTACAGACCATTTTACCCTATTCTTAGCATTCTTACTGTAACAAATGAAACGTTTCTTAGTGAGCTGTGCACAGTAATTTTGTATATTATTAAATATTTCTTTTTTTTTTTTAAATGCGTTGCGCGTTTAGCATATTTATTTTTCATTTACTAATTTGCTGAAATTATATTACAAATACTTACTGCTAAATTATCATATACAAGAAAAATTACAGAATCTTTCATTAATGCTTTGCAAGTAAATTTCATTGTGAATGGAAAGGATGAAGACATTGAAAGATAGTAACAGATGAGAATCTATGAAAGTATGAGAAAGTAAATTTCAATGCAACGAAAATGTAGCACCGATTTCTGACGACAATCCGCAACTCTCAAGTTCATTTTGTACCGATAAAATAGAATCACTTATTCAAATGACATTCTGTAAAGACAGAATCAACTTGGGAGTTGCGGTAGTAATACAGTATTATCTCATACCATATGCGAAGTATAGTGCATACTGCAAATATTTGCGATACTTTTGTCGCTTCTCTCCACTATGATTGAAAAGTTCAACTGGTACATACATAATAAACTCAAGACTTTAGAAAATGACAGTATGTTATATCATTTAATTACTGTAGCTATATTGCCATTACTACTGTACTAGTGAACTTCATCTGATATTTCACGAAGAGGCAAGTCTATGAGACATTTCCATGAAATTAAAGTTCTGTATATATTAACATGTAAAGTTGTTAACAATTGATTATTTGTATTATTAACTAATTGATTATCAATAATTGCTCTTCATCAGTCATTTGTACAATTATTAATATCCTGAAACGAAAAATTATTATTCATATCCTAGAAATTCTCTTCTATCAATATTTTACTAGTTATTCAATATTGTATAGCAATTCTAATTGTTCAAATAAGCAACCTAATGCAATCTGAATACATTTTAGTGCAAAATTTATTCAAATGACAGAAGTTTATATTTAAAAAAAGTTCAGAGTTAGAAACTGATATAGACGCATTTTGTTGAAATTTCTATCAAAAATTGTTTTGAACGAAAAACTTCATGAATTTGAAAAATAGTTTGCAATTTGAATTGGCAAAAGATATTTTTTTTAAATTAAAAGAATACCCATTTTTAGATGTGTTCCACGTGTATTTCTTATTCTATCAATTTCGTACTTTAAACGGTCATTTTCTTCCTTCAATTTAATTGTCATTATACGAAAATTGTCCACTTCTTTGGATAATTGGGCATTAGCATTGACCAATTCTCGATAACGCTTTTCTAAGTTCTCATCTGCAAAGCAGTGATTTACAATTAAACAAGCAAAAGACATCAAATCGCTATTTTAAGAAAAACGCAACTTCACACGCTAAAACTTTACAACAATTAATTCAATACTTGTTATTTCATCAATTCAATTATTCAATATCGCATTTGTAAATTTACTGATTCTGAATATAATCAAGAGATAACTTCGACTGCTCATACCATGAATTGGCATACAAACAGCAGGCTTGGCAGCATTATTGCCAATATTAACACCTGCATTTGGAGGCACATTTACAAATGGTTCAGGTTGAAAACGTAAATTTGTCACTGTCCGAAGGGAAGTCTGCGCCGGTTGTGAACTTTCAGGATTGTCACGTTCAGGAACGACTACTGCACTTTCCTACAATAATAGTTTTTATTCATTTTTATTTGTAGATACAAATTTTGCTCCGTGACGAAATAAAATAAGCTGTATGACACAAAGCTTAATCTAACAAGTGAAAATGAATTTTTTACTTATTAACCATTTATTGAAAGTTAGTAAATGCAGAGGATCAAGAACGTAGAGACAATTAACAAGTTTTACTTTAAGAATATCAAACCTTTAAAGTCATTCTCCATAAACTGTGATGCTTAGCAGTATAATTATTATTATTATTATAATTATTACTATTGTTATGGCATTTTTTACACTTTAAATAAAAATAAAAGTATGAAATCGATATATTGAAAAAATTAGCCATTTAATTTTGCACCATTTTTTCTTGTTCTTGTTTTCGATGAATACAGATCACTAAAATTGTAAGCAAAGGAAAAATTTGAAATACAGTAATGGATGTGCTTATAATTGCAATATAAATCATAGTTCTCTGGTGACCGACCACCTGCAATTTATGCTTTAATATATATATTGTCTGACATATAGATAAAACTATCTCAACCTCTATAGCCACTACTGTTATTTAGATAGCTTTATCAACACACGAACACACTCCCACATAGTGTTAATGTTCACATTGTAAACAATGTGATAGTGATCTACACTGAATTTTTGCAATTTTTCAGAAAGCTATAATATCCATAAGTAATGGAACCGATTTCATATCACAACATTCCTGTGCGAAATCCTAATCAAATGACGCAAGTCCTGCGTTATTATATTTGCTGATACTATTTTCACAAATTTTATGAAGTTTGACATTTATTATGTATTCCATGTATGGGTAAAAAATTCAAATCATAGCAAATTGCTAATGAATTATATTTTATCATTTTTGATAAATAATTATGGATTGAGACTGAACATTATTATAATCATTTTGAAAGAAAAAATGTAGTACTGTAAAACAGACATTTTTATCTAAAAATTGAAACTGAGAATTCCATCTTGAAAGACAAAGTTTTACAATATTTTTGCTAAGTAATCTGTGCATAAATAATTGATTATATTCAAATCATAATTTTCAAATTTTCGAGACAAACTATAATATTACTCACATTGTTAATAAACACATTCATAACTTAAGCTACAACATCTGACTTTAATTTAATTTGATTACTTTTAAGCAATAATTCATTCATAGTTTTGTGAGACAAAACAGAATACATAAACCAACCAGCAACAACCAGTTTCTCTAAGCAATAAAATGACGTAATAATTCGAGAAACAATTCTTAAATCAGAAATGAGTAATAATTTTGTTGCAACTTTTTTGAAATCAATAATGTATGCTAATTTATCACAAAAAATTGCAACATTTGATTGATATAAAATTATTCGTCCTGTGCAAAATGAATAGTACTAAGACAAAGTTAGCACTGCCATCAAATTGCACAAAAAAAGGACTAACTGAGAAAATATATCACACAATTTCTAATTCAACAAAAAATGTGAGCGTTTTAAAATGAGACACATTTCAAGAATATAACAAATAAATATCTGATTTATAAAAGCTTAAAATCATTTCAGCTTTGAAATTACTACTCGTTCAGCACTAATAATTAATTAAACTAGCTAACTTAACAGCCAATTTAAATTTAGTCTTGTGATAGTGACAAATAGTAATTCACCTTATTTGTTAATCATTTATATTTTGAAAATATTATAAAAAGTTGAAGCTACTTAATGCTTTTTGCCAACATGTCTAGCAACTCCCACCTTTTGAAATTGGAACTTGATAAGTATAAAGACTCTGATAAAGATGAATAAAAGAGGGATATAAAGCTAAATAAAAACTAAAGATTTTAATGAATCAGAACACGAAAAAATAGAACAGAACAATTCAAAAAAATTGCATATATACATGAGAATGCACATAAATTATTTACATAAGTGGGCAAAATTTATTACATATACAAATAACACAAATGAATAGATTTATAAATTAAATACATATTGAAAATGTTTGAAATTTTGAATTTGTAAATAATACAAAAGTGATATTTAATGCACAAAATCAACTCATAATACAAATTTAATCGTTCGTATTGTTGATGATAAATGTACAAAATCTATAATAGCCTATATTAAGATAGAATATTCAAGATCATTTTATGTCAACTCAATTATATTACTTTATTTAAAAAGCAATTCATCACAAAGTAGAAATTAAGGCAAAACTTGAAATCTACTAATACTTTTGAATCAGCAACATATAAATCACGAGATATTTAAAATTATTCAAATATTTCTTCTTCATCAACTTAAAAGCATAATTTGTAAAAAAAAACTTTCCTATTATTATTTAATTTGCTCGCAAATGAAAGTAAAAAATACCACGCAAGATGGTACATATAAAATGATTGTGATTAAAACAATCTTTTTCGATGCACTGCCGACCGCATTAGATTCTACTTAATCAAACTTTGTGAATAAAACTCAGTGGGTTACTTATTCAATGAAGAACTAATCAGACCAATTATTAATTTAATTTGAAAGGGTGAAAATGAAATATTTGAATTTTAAATTAAAATTCACACACTGACATTAACAATCACTGAAAAATTCCACGTAGTAAATTATCACCCGACTGAATTTTTGATTTTGGTACTTCTGAAAAAATTGCACGTAGTCAGAGAAAATTTATTTCTGAATTTATCTTCTGATTATCACGATAAGTGAGCAAAAAACAAAAGTTTGAATAGTAATTTAATCAAAATAAATTGACTTTTGAATAAATTGCTTTTGACTTCAAGCTATAGCAATTTTAATTTGATATCAAAAAAAATTCTTGATCTCATGCTTACTTTTATAATTTAAAGTGATAAATAATACTTGGTGTATTCTTAATTTGATCGGTTTGAAAATTCCGTAATCTTTAATAATCTTTCTTTGTTTTCTTAAATAAACATGAAAATAAGATTTGTAACAAAGTAATAAAGTAATAAGTAAATACTACCTACCAATTCGTCAACTTTTCCAACATGTTGTTCCTGCATATTTTTGCGTGAAAATTGTTTTTTTCATTGTCTATAAAGTAGTCCAAGCTTGCTTTCCTAGCACCCATTCATCGGTATCAACAGAAGTGATTTTAGACGAGCACAGATAAATAGAATTACATGAACAATTTTGAACAGATTGCAGTTGCACTCGGCAATTCTCTAATTCCTTCATTACCTTTAATTATTTAAATAAAAATTAGTTATTCACATAATAAGCTTTCTAACAACTAATGCTCTTTATTCTCTTTAACTGTTCTTTATTATTATTCTTTCATTTTTTCATTTCTTATTTTTTTTAATATTTATATTTGATGCTGGCAAAGTAGATCTGAAAAACAAATTTATTTTTCCAGATTGATCTTACCGATAGCAATATCAAGTATAAACATACTAGTAATACTATTCAAGATTGAAATCTATCTACACAAAAATTACTTCCACCAGTGTTACCTTACTACATAGAGAGTCACAGTAGATGTTCAAATTTATGGTATTGTAAATAAAACATTTTAACATTTCTTGAAAGCGAATATTGAAAAATTAATGTCATTAATAACAGTTGTTACTATAATTATTAATTATCAAGATTGTATACTCAGAATCTTAGCTATTACTTGTATCGCAAAAAGGTATATTTATATTTGAAAACAGAAAGTCTTTATTTTCGAGGAATTTGCAAATTATCATGGATAATTATGAAAAACAACCTGAACTCCTCGCTGAGGCCAAGTATTTCCGTGTAAAATTTTAACATCAGGGAGCTGTTGAATTGTTTGTAACCTATTTTTCCATGATTTATTGCAAGGATTAACAAAACGGGCTAATGCATTAGTCTTCATAACAGATTTTGAAGATAAAAGTTTATCTTGCATTATTCGCCTGAAACTTATCTTAATAATTTTGACCTAGAAAATTCATAATTAGAAACATAAATCATACCCCAATTTGACATTGAATCAAAAAGTCATATAATTTTATCAATTTAGAGTCGTATAATTTTATCATTACAATACCTTAATTGCATATAACAATAGTTAAATTACAAATGCTTATTTTTATCAAGCAGAATAAACTGTTTTTTGTTTCTTTATTCTACTTTATCCATCAAATAGTTTCAAGAGCTGTTTTTAAGAATTATTTTCACCAACCTTAGATGAAATACTCGAGCTGTTTTGGGTGATACAGTCGTTATGAGTTTACCACGATCCACACTTAATACGTCATGTACATGAGCACTATAAACATACTCTGGTCGAACAATTATCTAAAATTCGTTTTTTTCCTTATTACTGATATTTTGAACAATTTTAGAATTATTCTGTAATTTAATTTAAATTTGTCTTTCCTTTTTTTTGAAAAAATTGTTTGAAATTTAATTTAACTAAAATAAGTATCAATAAATGCAAGCAAGTTTGCTGCAAATATTCAAATTTGTTTTTAATTAATGAAAACGCAAAAATCAATATTGCAAATCTCTTTTTATGAAAAATAAATGAAGTGTTATGTAAGCTTACTTTACTCCGAGAACCTTTTGGCCAAGTGTAATTTTCCAGCAAAATATTTGCAAAGTTACTGAAATCAATTTCATTTGGATTTGAAATATTAGCCCAGTGATTCTGAAAACTATTTGATTATGATAAAAAATTGAAGTTGAGCTTTTTATGCATATTATTCTCGAAGTAAAGTAAGTTCATATAGCTTATTTTACTTCAAGGATAAAATTGACTCATTTTTAGTCTCAAATAATAATTTGACAAATATTGCCAAAAATTTTGTTTCTTTTGTCTAACTTGAACTTTTTTTGTATATTTTAATAGGACTCATTTTGACTGAAGACAATAAATCTATTTCATAAATTAAATTAATAGTGTTAATTTCGGCAACGATTAAGTTTTTTTTGTACGTTACTTTCAAGAAATACTTTGAAGCAAAACGCACTTTTTTTTTACAAATAATTTCAAATACAAATTTTTAAAAGTTATATTGAAACTTGTTTGTATTCTAGTCAGTATAACTGAACTGAAGAAGTTGAAAGTTAAACTAAAATTAAAAAAGAATCTAAAAATCAACCTCGAAAAGTGCAAAACTGCTGCGAATAATAAATGCTGCAGACCTTTCATACTTTTTTTGTAAATTATGCAAGAAATGTGACAACGATGATGCCTCATAAACTACAATAACTTCGTCGAGATCAGAAGAAATTACGTACTCTGCTTCCTTCCGACTTCGCAGAATGCAATCATTAATTGAAGTAGCCACCTGTAAAATTAATTTACGTTTTGTTAAAAATTCACAAATCTTTCAGTTTTCTGATTAATACAATTTTAATTAATGATGGTTTTTAAATGTTTTCCAATGAGGAAAAATTAAGCCTGGATATTTAGCAACAGATCAAAAAGAAGCAAGCGTCTATTTGTTATAAAACTGAAAATGAACCAAATTTCTTTATAATTTTTATTTACAGATAAATAATATTTGATACAGCATAAATTGACAAAAAAATAAAATCTACTTTATTTCTGTGCAACAGTACTGAATTTGTTTGCTCAATCATAGCAAAATTTGTGCTTTTGCTTTTAGTAATGCCTTAGCTAAACTGCACTGTACCTTGAGTAATAATATAGTAGTTAAACAAGCATAACCATTGAAAATCCAATTCAATTCAC